GCCTGGGGCCCTGGGGGGGGGGGGGGAGCCGATTGCGGCTCAGAGGGAGGAGCCTGAGCACAAAGTGCCTGGTGTTGAATTATTAAAGCCCTGGGCAGAGACACAGCCGTGCTGCCCTCCCCCACCCCGCACCAGCCCCCTCCCCTCCGTCCCTGCCCCAGCTGGCCTGACCCTAGGGCCCCCCAGACAGTCCCAGGAGCAGTGTTTTAGCAGCGGGGAGGGGGAAGGGGGGAGCGAGTCCCGCTGACCCAGCCTGCTTGATTCTCTGCTCGCAGGGAAGCCATCAACAGACTGTACGAGGCGGTGCCTGGGGTGAAAGGGGCCTGGAAGAAGAAGGTGGGTAACCGTGCCTCAGTTTCCTCATCTGACGATGCCGACTCGGCTTGGCAGACCCCGTGCAGACGTGGCCATGAAACCGGCCCTGGGGGCTCGCCCCTGGGATCCTCAGGCCCGGTTCCCTGGGAGTCTCCCCAGCACCTTCCCGGTGCGCGCTGGCAAGCTGCAGAAGCTTCCTGCGCTGTCCCCCTCCTGCTGCCCCGTGGCCCCGCCTGGCCAGCCGAGCGCAGCGCCCACCCTCAGCCCTTTCTCCCTCCCTAGGCACCCAACCGAGCCCTCTTCTCCATCCTGGGCAAGAGCAACCTGCGCTTCGCCGGGATGAGCATCGCCGTCAACATCTCCATCGACGGGCTCAACCTCATGATCCCCACCACCCGGCAGGTGAGTCCCCGCGCCATCGCGCCCCCGCCGGGCTCTGGGGAGCTGCGCGGCCCCTAGCGGGCCTTGGAGCAGCCTTGAGACTGCTCTGAGCTGGGCCTGCTTCTGGGGCTCTGCAGCGGCAGAGCTGTCGGGCCTCCCCGGCTCGCCCCAGGAGGGCCCATCGCCGGTGCTCCGTGTCCCAAGCGGTGGGGCGCCGGCAGGGACCGTTCCACGCCGACAGCTCGGGACGGCCGGCGCCGTTCAGCCTCCACACGCCCCCCCTTTGCTCAGCTTCATCTCATCCTCCCTGGGCATCCCCCGACCGTCCTCCACAGCTCCACCCCCAGGCACGGGGAACACGAGAAACCGGCTCCCAGGTTCGGATCCGGGGCAAAATTCTGCTGCTCTCAGCTTCACTGCTGCAAGTCCAGCGTCATTCCCCCAAACGCAGAGTCCACTCGGGGGTGACACGGGCACCCAACCCCTGTCCCTGTAGAGAGGTGACCGACACCCACATCAGGCCCCCCGAATTTGGGGGTCACTAGCTGTGGGGGGAGAGGAGGAAGCAGCATCCTTGCTTATCCTCCGAGCACAAGGGTAACCCTGAGTTCTGCGTGGGCCAGGGAGCTAGTGTCCGGGTCGGGGTTAGAACGCCCATAGGCCCAGCTGCCAGCCCTGGGCTCCAACCACTAGGCTACACTGTGCAATCCCCATGGTGCTTTGTCCCCTTTAAACCATCAGGCAAGCTGGTCCGGCTACACAGGGCGGCTATAGGCTGGGTG